TGCCGCCGAAAGTCGGCCGAGTTTTCCGCATTTCTCGTGGCTTCGGTGGCCAGGACTCTGATGTTGGTCTCGGGCACCCCAAAGTCGGCGCATGCTGACTTGAATTTAGTCAGTGACGAAAGGACCTCGTCGATGGTGTCTTGGGGGATAGGACCCTTGACGCCGGTCGAGTATTGAGCGTCGAACAGCGAGATCCCTTCGCGATCTTGGAAGACAGTGGGAAGGGAGCGGGCGGTTGAGGGTGAGAGGTCGGTGATGGAGAACCGGATGCCATTGCTGTCGACGCCGCCATCCCGGACACCGTCAGTATCTGTGTAGCCGCAGGAAATGGCGTGAAATATCGGCTGGAGGATGCTATATTACCTTCCCATGTCCACCAAGCCATAGAGGCTGCTCGGCGAGGGCGTGCGTAACATTGCGAGAAGCGAAATGCTGGTTCCGGATATGGATTCCAGCGATTCGGTAAATGCGGGAGGAAAAGGCACCACACCAAAAGACGCAGCAGCCAGACGATAAGCAAGTCGCCTTATCTGAATCTTAGAATGGCGGAAAAGCCCATTTGACGATGGATGGATATTTTACTAGGGCTACAGAACAACACCTTGTAACAGAAGAAAATTCAGTCGAGGCAGAGGTCGATCCCCTCGTATTTTTTTTTTCCATGTCACGGCGCACGTGGGACTTTCTCGCAATCTGTACGGCTGCCGCAGTCGATAAACTTGATAAACCACTTTTGGTCACATCAAGGCATGTTGTGTACACATATCGAAGCCATTTGTGTCGCATTGCCCCTTTCTATCAAAATGCTGGTATACATTCAAGTTCTAGTAGAACAATCAGGCCCGAACCTCACCCACTCCCTCCCGGAAAAAGAGGGATATACTCATCCTATGAGATCTCCTCATCTTCCTCAGGGTGGAAAGCGTCTCCAAAGGCAGAGCCTTCCATGCCGTCCAGGTTCAAGTCGTCATCGTTCTCATAACTTGCAAGCGCATCCCCAGCTGTGTCCACTTCGACATTATCAAAATCCCCTCCCATTCCGAAATCAGGAGTGTTCAGTGCTCCGTCCGGAGGAGGCTCAGCCTGAACTTGCTGTGGCTGGTCAGTGCTCTGGCCATTATTGGAGTGGTCCCCAGAGGCATCAGCTACAGCATGATTTTCGTGCTGTTGATCCTCATCTGCCATCTCGGGGATTTCCAAGTCGTTCTGACCTCCATCTTCCCCAATCATAACCCATTCGTCTCCGTCTTGGTTGACATTTTCAACTTGGTCGTCCATACCATCCATGTTCACATCTGTGACAAGATCGTCCATTTGCGGAAGTTCTTCGGCTTGCTGGTTGGCTTCTTCAGGCTGCTGTTTGACCTCCGTAGACTGTGCCGTTTGGGCTTCAGATGGTGTAGGGACTGCTTCCGCAGTCACCGGGTTTTGCTGCTCGTTGGTGACCGGAAAGGTTTGTTGCTGCTCTTGCTTTGGCTCTTCGACCATAGTTGCGCTCAGCTGTGGCTGTGGCTGTGGCAGTTGTTGAGCGCTGGAACTTCCTGCATTGGGAAGAGTTTGGATAGTCTTCTCTGGCGAAGAAACGACCGCAGCTGGAGGCTGGGGAGGGGCTGCAGTGACTTTATTTCGCTCCTCCAAGCCCCCTCTTGAAATCAGCGTCACGGTATTGGTCTTTGTCAGCTTCTGGCCCATGTCTGACTCTACTGTTTCCATGATGTTATCAACCGGGTCTCGCGTGACGATGTCGGCATCGCCACTGGGACCATCTTTGGAGATACTTGGTCTCCCTGCCACATCCGGCGCTGTCCGTAACTTCTTCTCGGCAGCTGTCAAGGTCGTGGAGCGACGCAGTTTTTCCAGTCTGCGAGCGTGCCGTTTCCTCATTTCTTCTAGCTCTTCTTGCATTTTGGCTAGCTTTTCAGAAGCCCGTTTGATGAAGTCATCAGCTTGGCCAGCAGGCAATTTCCCAACTCGTGGCGGCGGCCCATTGCTGGGTTCTCTCGCCGCCGAGACAGGAGCGTCGAAGAAATCTTTGGTCAGTTCTTCCAGCTGGCCCTTTCGCCCAAAACCCAAGTCGCTAGGGATGATGGAGAGGGTGGGATATGGCGACTCAATTAGCTCCTCCATCCATTCATGGTGTTGCTCATAGCGAACCCGGCTGATGTCTCTGGGAGCCATAAAATCAAGCAAGTCACCACGAGATACGTCTTCTTCCTCCTCCACTGTCGTGTCTTGGGTGATGCTGGCACCTCTTCTATGACCAACCCCAGGAGGAATTTGTCCTTGGGCAGGTCCTCTGGGTACCCCCGGAGGCAGGTGCATCGTAGGCCAATTTGATCGATCGTGTAGCATAAAGTCCTTTCTAGGTAGTTGCCCTTGGCTCTGAATCATGCGACGCTGTTGCAGGATCGCATGAACATGAGGCAAAATGGGGATGTTGGCGGCGGGTACGTGGTCGCGCGGAGAGGCTTTGGAGTAGTGAGTCAACCACAAGCTAGGGTCAGGGTTCGGGAGACCATGAGCTGGGTTTCCAGGAAGGAGGCGATAGCGTCTTCTGCTGTGTGTGGCCATGACTTCGCCCGTGGCTCGAAATCCCGCTCTTTGCAGAAACATTTCCAGAGTCTGACAAGAAGCATAGTTAGCGCGCTGCGATGAGTTTGATATTGTTGGTTACCTACATATCCACGGACTTCAGATTTGTACACATGCTCCACGTCTGCCCAAATGAAGCCGTCACTCGCATAGTTTGTGCCCAGGTATTCGAGGGGCTGCCATTCGAGGATCAAGGTGCCGTCTGGCGGAGTGTCGATGAACTGCCATTGCATAGGCTGCAGGTCGCGCACAATCTTGGGTGCCTCCAGGAGGTATGCGACAATGGTATCGACTGCAGGATTGCTCGTAATTGGGTAACGATATTTGGAGACGAGGTGCAGATGTGGCAGCTGAGGTGCGGGCAAAGGTCAGTTTAGGGTTGTGGGAAAGGAATCGAGTGGAGGATGTTGCGACTCACCAGCTGCGGCGGGATGCCAGCCGCAGGGTCTTTCATCATTGGGTTCATCTTGGAACAAGTGCGCGGCTCTCAGGGCGAGATTGTCGGTATCATGGATATCAATGGTTGTTGGGTGGTTGTTGCAGGTCAGGGCGCGCCTGTAACTGCGACGCGATCAAATCTGGGGCTCAACTTTTGGAACGAGGCTGGGGATCTTGGCAACCAGCCTTATCACGTGCATGATTCTCAGTCTTTTGTACTGTACATATCTTACTGGTACAAATTTGTATAGGCATCGCTAGAGCCAGACATTGCCTGTCGTTACTTATGGATGGGTGATTGACCCAAGTGCCATGGAAATAAACGTGCAAAATTGCTGGTCATAACAACTCCACCTCTCCCCTTTCCACGCCTTTCTTGACGTCCTTCCACCGAACAACCCAGACCTCTCCTCTCCTCATCCTCAGCACTACACTAGCACCTTCTTGCTCGCCCTGGTCCCTCGCCTCGTCGACATCCCGCTCGTTATTCCACGTCCCCTCATTTAAGCATCTGACGACCACAGCCTTTGAGCCGTCGGGCCCTTCAATCATAGGCACTACTCCGCTGGAATCATCCAGTCTCCGTAACCCCGTCGGTAGCGAGTTCAGAAAACTCGAATCATAGAGGTCGCCTAGGAGAGCTTGATGATGCCTTAGAAAAGCGACTTCCGCCGCTGACATGATGACGGACGTCTTGTTATCAGAATTAAGGTATTGCGAGAGGTAATAAGTGGCATGCGAGGTCATCTTGGCGAGCCGTTGCCTGAGCAAACTCCTGACCAGGAACTGCGTCCGTGATAAGTCGGTCTGCAATATCGCAAGGACTAGATTCGCATTCTGCGTGCCGCCGGCTGGTTTCCCACCCATGATCCCCTCCATAGAACTCGAGTAAGAGTCCTCACCCATTCCGCTGGCTAGGTCTTCAATGCGTGATATTTGTGCTTGGACACGCGCCATTACACGGGCCATTAGTTCTGTGGGATAGGGAAGTAAGTCAGGTGCGCAGCGCTCCGATGTCCATGCGCGTGTGAGGAGCTGGTGGTCGATGAAAGCGTCCGTGTCACTGACCGAAGATGGGTGTGTGGGTGTTGTGGAGGATTGAGAGCGCGAAACATCTGCGAGAATGTCGGATATATCAACGTCCATTGTACTCGGTAATAGTCGGATTCGGAAAAAGATGACTCTGTGGACGACTCCGCGAAGATTGGTCTCCCTGGCCCCAGTTGACGCGGGCGCGGACGGCTGTGCTTCAGGATTTGATGTACAGAACAGTGAGGGCAACAATATCTCGACAGGACGCTCGACAGCTTCGGTAGTCGTTCTTGGACTGGAAGGGGTAGCCTCTGCTAATATGCTTAGTAGGTTTTGACGACGCGTCTAATTGAGTGATATACATTAATGTGGAGGAGGTCTGTAGGCAAGATAATGGCGTGTCTGACTGGTGGCCTAGAAAAGGGGCACGTAGATGTTGCTAATTGCCTAGGAAGGGAGTGAAGGCCACCAAAAATACGTAATACTTGTAAAGCTAGGGCCTTAGTCGGCGGCCATGGACCCTGAAAAGGCCGAAAAGGTTCCTCAAAAACACCTAATGACAGTGCTTAGACAGGAGCCAAGGCTCTATTGAGTTAGTTAGTTACTCAACACATTACAACAGCTTCATCTCAAGACAACTGAGAAAGAACAGATATTCTACCTCGACCATATCATCCTTGTATTAATTAAGTTCTAGCTTCTGCAAACACAATGACTGATTGATTGTTCCTTGAGACAAAGCGATACAATCCGTTTCAATACCTCGCAACAAAAAACACCACCAGCCACAAAGACATGCACCCAAAGCAACATAGGTGGAAACAATAGTAACCTCATTATTCAAGTATGGCACTTTCCAAGTCCTAATTCAATCTCGAGCATCCACAGGTAATTCTTTCTTTTTTTTTGTGTCATTTTCTTCTCCCAGATGTAATCATCTAGGGGTCGGTAACGATCGTCACAACCGGGTTGGTCACGGCAACATCAGTGACCGGGCCTCCTTGCAAAATATCAAAGTCGCGCTCGCGGACCCATTGGAGTCTGTTGGCATGGAGAAGTGCTTTGGCCTCATCCTCTCGGCACTCCTGCACGAGCTGCAATGCTTGTTCCGCAATCCGCAATCTCTCAGGGGGTTCTGGTGCAAACCAGAATTGTCTTTCCACCTCGTCGATTGGTTCCACAATCTCACTGAACAATGCGGCGGCTTCGTCGGGGTTTTCATGGTGCCGGAGCACATTGGCCAGTGTCAGGCGTATCCAGAGCAGCGACCTGTTGTTATCCTCCCGACTGTCTCCGATACTCTGGTCGACGAGGTCCCGCAGAACCATCCTTGGTCGGTTGTAATATCCACGGTCGAATTCTACCAGAGACAAGACGTACTGCCACTGACAACTGCGCTCAAAGTCGGTGGTAAATACCTCGGAAGATTTGATCGCCTCCAGGACTTGTTTGGCAAGATCCAACTTTGCATTGTCTCGATATTCCAGCGCTAGCGACACGGCAGTATCGACAGTCAGATTCAAATCGTCACCGAAAACTTTTCGTTTCTGCGTCCAAGCATTCAACAAGGACTCTTCCGCCGTCGGGTGCTCTTTCAATTTGCGGCAGACCATGCCGAGCGCTGTTCGTGCCATGATGGACAATGGATGAGCATCCCCCCCGATGGGAGTCCATTCGTGGAGGATGGTTTCATAATTCCTACGAGCTGTGATTAATTCCCTCTGTTTTTCCTGCACATACCCTTGATAAAGTCTTGTCACTAGGCCCTTGGGCGAATTCTCACCCTCCAAACGTTGAAAGGCCTCTTCGGTCTCATCGAGGCTCGCCATCGCCTCCCTGAATCGAGCACAAGAATATTGCGCATAGCCTAGCAGTTGCACAGTAACGTAAACATCCAGACTGTCCTGATCGTAAATTTCTCTTTGTATAGCTGCAACCTTTGACAGCTCATGCTCGGCTTCCTCGAATCGCCCTTGCCAAAAGAATTCTTGTAACATACTCGTTTTTGTTTGGAGTGTTAGTGGATGTCGGGCACCCAGACTGCTTTCAAAGCCTGCTGCCACCGCTTCCTTGTACATAAAACCTTTGCGCCAGTCTTGTTGGGATCGCCCTCCAAGGTTGAAAAATTGACCGAGCCGCATGAACGGGAGATACGGGGCCACCCTGTCTTGAGCCTTTTCCTTCAATTCTTTCTGTAGCTCTTCATGTGGCTTGACAAAGTAGTCCTTTATGGGTATCTTCTGCTGTGTGTCTTTGTCCAGACTGTCATACCATGTTTTGAGCATCGTCTGTACCTCCAATTGTGGTGCAATGCCACTCTGTTGCTTCGCCTCAAATAGATTTTCTGACCACGTGACACTCTCAATTCCCCCCAGAAATTGTGAAAGAAGATCGAGGACGTCATCTGGGGGGGTCTGAAGCGCCGACACGTGCTCATGCCAGTGAAGAACTGCATACTCGTAGAGAACCGACTCTTTCAGTGGTTGGCTGTCCTCACTATCCGGTACCATGTGAGGTGGCAACAGATGTTTCCGCAATAGCCGTAAAGCAGTCTTCCAAGAGCGGTACCTTTCGTTGGTCAATTTCTCCAGGCATTTTCTGGCGAGGAACAGGTCAGGATCCTCCGACCTGGCGGTACCGTAAATGTAGTCTCCAAGAGTAGGGTGAGTGAGGTAGACGTGAGCGGCTCGAACTCGCACGAGGGGATGGCACAGAGCATCGAGATCTACGCCCAAATCCTCATCGGTACGCGATGGCCCCTTCAATTCGGCATCGTTATCATCACCATCAACCATGAGAAACAGGGTCCGCCGCGTTAGAGGGGACCGCGTTGTGGCAAGCACCCTGAGAATGCACTTCTGCCGTTCTTGATCTTGCTCTTCGAACTTGCAAGTACTCTCCCTAATGACCGCTTCGTATATTCGCCGCGGTTCAGTTGGGAAGGCTTTCAATTTCTGTATTCGAGTCTGAAGACTGGGTCCTTGACGGACATGGTCCAAGAGCAGGTGCACCCAGAGAAAGCTTCCTGCACTGTCTCTGTCGATTCGACGCAGGATATCGTGCTGGATCGGTTGCAGTCCTCGAAATCGCGAGATCTCTTGTAGGGCATACCGTTCGATATCTAATTTTGTCTTGTCAGGCGTCAATTCGATCATGTGTGAGTTTGGTATGTTTGGCTCGCCCCTCGACGTCAGGACAACTGCGTGGTCGGCATTTTCAGAGATGGCTGTTAATGTTTTCATCAAAAGGTTGCGATCGTCGGTCTCACCGCATTGGTCCACCGCATCGATGATAAGTATCACTGGGGGAAGAAGTGACACGATGTCTCTCGTAATTTGGGCCAGTTGTTGCGTACCACACTGGCTGGCATGCCCAAACGCAGTGCGAAGTCTCTTCAACTGTATCAGCCCCGGGGCAATATCATGGTACTGATCGATCAGTCCAGATGTGCAAATTCGCAGGAGCATTGAGAGAAACAATTGGCGGATCTGGTCACGGCCGCGGTGAATCTCAGTCCCAAATGAAAACAAAAGTATTGTCTCATTTTCGAGTGCGCTGGCAAGCGTGTGGGCCAGGACCGTCTTCCCTGAGCCTTAAAGCAGAGTTAGCACAGTGGTCGATTGGCGAGTTTACAAGGGAGACTTGAACCAGGATCCCCCTTTATCCAGAGCGGCCACCTGTCAGCCGTTGCATTCTTCCACTTGATCCATGTTGGATCCGACAAGATCCATTCGCATGTCCCTGGCGTGGGCTCAGTGGTTGGGGGCTCGGAAACTCCTGCTGCCGTATCTAGCCATTTGACCAGGTCACGGTTCATTTCGAGCACTTTAGCATCTATACAGAACGTGTTGGGTCAGTGGGCAGTCCTTTGCTAGCTTGACTACCTGTTATCATGCATTACCTCGCACCTGAAGGCTGTGACACAGTTTCAGCTGATGGAGAGCTATAGAACGGTCAGCGGTACTTATGCGAGAAGTCCAACATCCAAGGAAGGGTGAGATTCAACGCACATTGCTGGGTCTGATAAGTTTCAGCTTTGATATTCTGCAAAATGGCGGTCTGGTGCCTAACTTCTTGAAAATACACTTGATATGCAGCTCGAAGGTCTGTAAATGCAGTTGAGTCTTAGTGAGCGTCAACATTACGCGAGTAGCGGTCGCTATGCGATGTTGCCGAATCATGGATTCTTGCCCTGCCCCAGCCACACGGCCTTCCGGCGTTCCCCACCAGTGAGGCTGGGACAGCTCAGAGACAAAGTATGTAGGACTCTAGTGCTTGGTCCCGTGTGGATAAAGACTCCATTCAGGATGTATACTCACCTTCGCGGAATTTTTCCTGAGCAATGATTTCGTCGGTAACCCTAGTCTCATGTACAATGTGTCCTGTGTATAACCATCAGCAACGCAAGTCAGATATTCTACACGGAAAATGCTCACCTTGGTGTATGGTATGTGTGATGCGCTGGTCAAGTCGAAGCTCCAGAGCCTTGAGGTCAGAGAAGCAACGATTCAGCTTCAGCGAGATACTCCCTCTGAGCACGCCAGCTATTCCCCTTCGACTGATTTGAATCTCGAGACGGACGAGATAGCCGAGAATATGGGCAAAGTATTCGGCAATTTGATCCAGGATATCCCGATGGTCCTTAAAGGTGCATGCGACTTGTTCGTAGATACCGGTACTTCCCGCAATCACCACCAGCGCATGTCCAATGTCGTCTAGAAATTGGATGTAGGAGGCTCCCAACTGTTTTGCGCGTTAACGCAGTCCGGCTTTTAGAGGACTTGTCGACCACTGAAGGATTGGAATTTCTCACCTGCAAGCAGAGGCGAATGGCTCCCCAAACTAGAGCTGCCACAACGGGTTGAGGCGCTACAAGGACATCACCGACGGGTGCACAATCGTTCAATTTGCGGATGATGGTGCGCAAGGTACTTTTCCAACCCCGGTCTGAATCATTCACGGGTCGTTGGTTGGCCTCGATCGACCTTGCCAGCTCTCCAAGAGTGCAGCAGCCGAATTTCTTGCCGAGCTCCTCAACCTTGAGCTTCTTTTGTCGATCTTTAGTGAGGCGATTGTTGAAGTGCTATATGGTCAGGGTAAGGTTGGTTAGTGAGTAACACAATGACTCCTCATTGATCATCTGCCCTATTTCTGCCAAAGGCACCCGTCCGGTGAGGCGGATGATCCTTTCATGCCCGAGGCAGAAGCGCCAGTAATGCTGTTGGCCGTGCCTAGTCTGGTTTTCACTTGGCCGAGGCATATACTGTATCGCAGCATAATTGTAGAGGACAGAGGAGGGGGACCGGGGCAAGGGGGCCTCGAATGATCCCTACCACCAGCCAGGACTGGGTGGAAGATGACGAGGGATAAGGTGATACAAGTGACACTCACATCAACGGCTCTGAGCCAACATTCTTCGACAACATCGGCGGTCTTTGGTGGCTTCTCTGGGGCGTTGAGAATCGTCCACATATTCACAGGGAGTCTGTGATACAGTCGAAGTGTTGTAAGATTATGGACGCCATGGATACCTGAATGGAGGCAAACTGTGCCCTTTATGCTGGTACAGTGAGGCTCTTTGCAGAGCATTCAGCCCGTCCTCACTCTCGTAGGGCAGCCAGTATTGTCGTGGGCGCGAGGGTGGGTTTGGGCGTGGCTCAGGGCTCAGGGCGCAGGCATGCAGGCTACAAGCCCTCCTTTGATCTGATCCCGTATTGCCCGAATGCCTCTGCAATCAAGTCGGAGGGTGTATTGATCACAAGGCAGATTGTCTCTAGAAGCTCTCCTGGTTGGCTCACATCACCATCACTGCTGCCCGACAATGCCTACCAGGGCGAGAGCATTGCTCCAATCACCAATGCCGACCGGCCTGACCTGGGGATCGAGAGCCTCAAACTGCGCCTTCCTCTATTCGCCGCCGAGGTCTGTCGAGTACTGCTCTTTGCTACTTGTGCGCCTTTGAGTCCTGTATTTGCCTTCTCTGAAAACCCAACACGAATACTCCAATTTATATTTCCTATTTTCAGTCTCATCAGACCGATCTACACAGAACAAACAACAATGGCCGAATCACCATTGGGTGGCGGTCACCAGTATCACTCGCACGAAGCGGGGTCTCCTATCAACTGCCCTAGTGGGTGTAAGCTCCGACACAAGCCTGGGACAGACCTCAATCAGGCGTCTTGCGACTGCGAAGAGGGCTACTACGACAGGGAGCAGCGAGTCTTCTATACTGGCAGCGAGGTTCGCGACAAAAAGTCTCGCGAAACACGTCAACAATATCTGGAGCGCATTGAGGGAACTGATGCAGACCCCAAGAAGAACAATCAGGGCGATTACTTTCTACCAGGAGATGGAATAAGATACGAGGTTCTAAGAAGTATGAAGGAGGAAATATTTGGTGAAAGAGCTCAAATATGGAAGCACGAGCTAGTGGGTACACACCGATGACTTTAGTCCCTGTGATGCCTGCTCATTGACACTAGAATGGCCAGCCAGGCTGGTTAATTCGAGCCGACAGACGAGGGCATTATGCCTGGCCGGTAAGTCGCTGAAACCAAATGGACAGTCATACACATGGCTTTTGCGTTTCAAGCTAACATCATCACAAGACCATCATTGGACGCCTCCAGCAGCAAAGTCAGAGTCAGGACACTCCAGATCGAGTGAGACGACCTCCAGATCCACGGCCAGCCATCTCAGCAGCTGGACCGTCTGGGACCAGGCCGACCTCCGGTTACCCTGCCGCCCTGACGACTACAAGGTACGGAACGCCATCGTAAGTTTGCTAGCCTGCCATTCGCATATACGCACCCGTCTAACAGTGTTGAAGCTATTCGTCACAGAGCGCAGCGGGTCCATCGTACACCCAAGTTGACGAGACCTTCGACTTAGCTGGCATCGGATCAGTCTTTCCTGCGAACCCTCAAGGGAACCTGCACGCTCCCGGTATGACGCCTCAATCCAACGCTCCAAGCTCTGAGGCTCGATCTCATGCCATCTCCCGTCAGTCAACGGCCCAACCTGGGCAAGACGTGCGCCGCTCGATAAGTCCACAAAGTCCTGGGCAGGACGTCCGTGGACCGCATTACATACACACGAGCCGAAGGCCAAGGGAGGCCCCACCGCTGACCACAGAGGAGAGCGACGGACGGCCCGAGAGGACTAGTCAGTATACTCAACCTTCGAACGATCGCAGTGTGGTGCCTCGGGTCATGACAGACTCAGCAGAAGAATCTACCTCGCGACGCGGAGGGTCTGAGATAACATCGTCATTGCCCACACGGCAGAAAGGGACAACTGTGGATGAAAAACAGAAGAGAAAGCACCGGAAGGGATAAACCCCGTTGTTTTCCCTTCCAATATGGTACCCAAAAACAAAAGCCTGCAAGAAATGGGAATGGCTGCAATGGCCCACGCTAGCAGACAACATGGTATTGGCTATCTGGGTGTAATAGAGTCGGACACAGAACGATTTCGTAACCGCTCGGCATGTCTCCTATGTTTGTATTACTTTTTGGATCTGGTTTGGAGTTGGGTCAGGTGTCTGCAATTTGTTTGTTTTTCAGGACATGTTTCGGATTCACTTTGGAGGACAAGCATCATCGTCTGTCTCGCTAGAGGTAGCAAGCAAAGGGAGTTGGTTCAGATCCAGAGGAGATTTACATCTTTAATTAATTGCATTCGATAGCGAAGATAGCGAATTCTTCCCCAGAGCCTTCCCCTTTATGTGTGAATCCCGTTACATCTGCGCACCTAGGTACCTATGTACGTAGGTACCTTGGTCCTCGATAGGTAATACGCAGGTAGTGCCTAGGTACCCCATAATTTAAACCTCAGTCTGACCCGCACGACCCGACCCGTCGTGCCCGCCTACTACGGACACTACGGAGTAACTAATTTCTAGGTAGCGGAGACAAGCTCGAGGCTTGATCGAATGCCTATTGCTCCCTAGCAAGCTAGGCACTACTCCAGAGTTAGTACCCTCGTGGCCTCGCCTAAGATGACGATAACGATTACCTACGCAATACTCGGTACCTGTGACTCGGTGCTTGGGCTCGGAATTACAAGTCCTTGGATAAGCACAAGTACCTACCGAGTAACCTACCTAGGTGCACCAGTAAGAGGAATGAATATACATGTCCACCTACTAAGTATATGGTGTGTACTATTGCCACACGGATACACGGGTCGTCAGGCAATAGGAGCCGGATGCTTCCCAACCTCGCCTCACGGAGGGGGTTAGGGAGTGCTCTGGAGGCTCAGGCACGCCCGCGGTATGCTTAAAGGCTTAACGTTGGATCCCCTGCCCCCTAGAGTTGCTTTCTAACTGTACAAAACTGTTCAGTCCCCGTGTCCTCCCCCCCGGCCGGGGGGGCCCCGGGCTCCGAAATGCGAGTATATGGACGACCATGTTTGCGTCTGCCATTCAAAGGTTGGATAATGCATGGAGTCTCGAACAGCCTGACTCATTCATTTTTCTTGTCGCATCATGCCTGTTGGCGAATGATGGGTGCACAGTGGCTGCGGCCAATAAGGCGACGAATTTCAATTCGAAGCTGAGTTGCGCCCATAATCACTGACAATTCAGCCTGACAGCGGAACTGAGCAACATATCTCATCCTCTTTATTCTCAGAAATCTGCTCATGGCTTGACCCTCAAGTCATACCAGGGAGATGTCGCTCAGTTTCGGTCTCGGCGACATTGACACGGCCATTAAATGGACCAAAACGCTTGCAAAAGCCCTTCGTGAGGCTGGGGGTTCTCGTGCGGAATACCAGCACCTGATCAGACGCCTTGACATCCTGCAGTCAACATTGAACCTCATTGCGGATCGAAGTCGGGGCCTCCCTCGGGAAGATCGCAAAGGTCTCAAAAAGGCCCTTGGCCACTGCAAGAAGAGCTTGGGGGCATTCAATAAAGGCATCTAGAAGTTTTACAACTATCTGAAGCAAAACGATCCAAGAGGAGGGCTGAGAGGCATACTGAAGAATGTGCAGTGGCAGGCCGAGGCTCAAGACATCCAAGACTTCAGTCAAAGGCTGGACGACGATATAAAGGTGCTGCAACTTCTCTTGCAGGCGATGTTGTGAGTGTTTAGGTCTGTTCCAGGTTTTACATACTTGCGCTATTCTAACCCAGGTTAAGCAACCTTCCGCAGCAGGAGAGTGAGCAGGAATTTGCTCGAAGGTACTCAGAGCAAGACTACACACCTTGCGAGTATCACCAACGCGCTATCTGGAACACGCAGATGGAGATTGCGAATGCAGCACGCGCATGCCACGTGCAACATCGACAGCCACCTTGCCAGATACACAGACTTCCTCCCATCATCTTCATCGATGCCCAGAACAAGATTTCACACTTCCACATCGAGAATATCACCACTTCTCCAGCACTCAAGAATTCCTTGGAGTGCCAGTTCCCCGATGTTGGCCTCGTCAAAGTCAAGAGGGGCGAGTTTGCGATTCGCCGTAGAGGAGAGCTAATGGACGTTGATATGAGTTCACCCTTCCACGAATGGTTCGTGCCTGGAGGTGAATACAACATGAGCTTTGTCTTCGATGCAGAAGAAGAGCGCACGGCTACTTGCCCCTCGTGCCACGCACGCTCGGATGCGGCTCCGGGAGATGAAACCCAATGGTAAGCAATCATACAGGAAGCTAAAGGGACTTCCAAACTGAAGACCAACCTAGTGTTAGTTGTGGGATCCGATTCTGCCGTGTCACCGAAGAAGGGAGTTTGAGTGATAACACGGTTATGGGCAACTCTCCGCCATCCGACGGCAGCCAATCGAGTGCGAGGCCGAGGCCGAGGCCTACACGGCGTCCCGATCAAGTATCCGATTTCCGGAGGGTCAAGCTTGTGCACAAACGGTTCAAAGATGTTGGAGGAACTGACAATCCAGCCTGTCAATGTCATGCATGGCTGGGGTGGGTACGGGACAATTAGTGTTTGTGATGTTACAGAAAACATCACGCACTCGATATGTGTCCAATGCGGCCTTCCTACGCGCTGGGGGTTCGTGGGGGAGACCATTTTTCGGGGTCTCGCTTGGATCGCGGGCTGCAATGACGGTCCTGGATGTTCCAACTTCGCGTCTTGTGTTCAGTGCCGCGAGTTGAGTCGACGATGGAGAGGTATGAATAGGGATGGATAGTGCTGCCTCTTTCCGTACAGTCTATTCACATCGCTGAGCCCTTTTAGCTGCGAGCAACGACACCAAATTCTATCAACGCTCCTGCGCCTTGCGAATCGACAGATTCTACTCCAATATGACCGGGCGATGGAGTGGCGCCATTGACTGAGTGACCGACGGACCTGGACCAATGTAATGAAATTAATGGCCGACTGATATTGCAGAGGAAGTTTGGGTCTAGCGAAGACGAGACGAGTGGATACGATGCAGAGGGTAGTTTATCACTTTCATCACCCGAGACTCACGGCTTGTTGGAGTTCGATAGACATCTTTCGCATCCAGCATCTAGAGAGTTACAAGCGGCCAGGGAAAGCTCGTATTATGATTCACTTTCCATTTTTCCGTACATACAGACATACATACGTACAGACTCAAAGCGGTGTCTGCCGTGCGAAGACATAGTGACCGTGCAACCAGGCCCAGCATTCCTTCTTGTCTTGTCAGGTGTGATATTCCGGAACGTGACCTTTCCCTCCCTTTTCGCTCCTGCCGTGTCTCTTCTGAAGCGCCCGGATCGTAGACGGCGTCTTGGTTCTCCCCTCAAAGTTTACCGGGTATGCTCGCTCGTAGGGCACCTGATAGTTAGACCCTTTGAGATGGTATTCCGACTTCGTTGGGGAAGCTGGGTAACTTTTCGAGCGATGACGCCACCGAAAGAAAATCACTTGAGTTGTGGGCGGTCTTTCGGATGGAGGAAGTGAGACAATACCATCCATCCCACACAAGACAGCGGAGTCGAAGAAGTGTCGAGGTTTTCCATACGAAGGCCCAGAGAGGAGCACGAAGTCATCCCGCGTGCCGTTCCCAGACTGCATTCCTCTTACTCCAGCCACCCACACTCCGAATTCTAATGGACCGTACTTGTCCGGAGGGCCCTTAAATGGTCCAGCGCTATTTTTTGTTCCCTGTCCAAAGATTGGATGGAGTGTAGATAGGCAATGTCAGACCTGCCACTCCGCCCCGGAGCCGGAATATTTTCTCTTTAAGACTTTTCTCGATACCGCAAACTGGCGGAGCGGGGGCGATGCCAAAGGATGACTGTGTATGTGGCGGCGATTGTATCTCACACAACGTGGAGACTGCCAATTCCAGCAATTGAGAAAAAAGCTCCCAGAGAGACACGTCCAGAGCCGCAGCTTGGGGAACAGGATAAAGACCCTTGGCCTTCAGTTTCCTGACAAGGTCACCGAGGACGAGGGCGTCACAATTTGTGTTTTGTGAGCATTGCTGTATTTCGCCCTGATATGTTTCAAGGGTCTTGTTCAGGTAGGTGAGCAGGTCTTCTATGGCCGAAAGTCTACAGGATTCGATCTCGCCTTTATGCACGCACGGTTAGTTTTTTTTGGAAACGACATCGACGGAGGTTATCCTTACTCGAAATTGCCGGTGGCAATGGGAGTCCGTTGTCGTCAAAGCGAGAATGACACGCGAAGATGGCTTTTCTCGTAAGCTCATTGTATTCCGGCGGTCTCTTGAGAACCCAGCAGATGTAGATCCAGTCGGCAATATGTGGAGTCGAAGTGTCACGATGCGGCCATAGACTTGGGAACCAGAGATCTGTGTACACTCCTGTAACCTCTTGAAGCTCGTACTTGTCAATCAGAACCACAATCGCAAAGAACAACGCATAGTCGATTGTACGAGGGACGCTCCTGTTCAGTCCATGTATGATTCCCAGCAAGACCATCATAGCATCAGCATCGTCTTCGGGCAGTGGTACTCTGGACAATTGATTGCATCCTGGCACGACGCTTTCCTGAAATTTACCATCGAACATGGCGCGAAAAACCCGTGAAGCCATCGAGAGATGTTTGGACGACACTTTGGCTTCGATCTCTTGAGTCCCGCAGGGCACCGGTGACTCTATGAGTGATCCTTCACTGGATGGCCGATCAAGGCCTTCAGGCCGCATGCCTTCATGTTCATCCTTCTTGTTGGGTTCTGTTCCCGCGTCATGGCCGAGTGCAGATGGAGTGATTCGTCGGTTCAGGATCAAAAGAACATCGCCAAGGGAGTCGTAACTGGGTTTCTGGCTCCCTGGAAGATACCAAGACCAGCGAGAAGGGTAGGAAGAGTTGAAGTCTGGAGACGCCGTTGACATCGTCTGTAGCAACGAGGTTGACAAGCCGAGTCGAGCCGAAGAAGAGAGAGAGAGAGATGGGCGTATCGATGGGATCTGACTGAGAAGGTTGGAAGCTTGGAAGTGAAAGATAAAAGGCGGTGTGGAGGAAGAGGTGAAGTGCCTGTGAGACCAAGTAGGTGTTCTTTGTTCTTTGTTCTAGACATTCTCTCTTCGCAAGTGACCTGGGGAATAACGCCACGTCAGTCACGCTAGAACAATCAAGATTAACAACACGGAAAATGGGTCTATCTCCATCAGAATCCACTCACTGGTCCTGGGAGGAATTTCATGTGGTTCATGGCACTGTATTGTAATGTTTGCGGTGAGTTCGCTGTACGATGCGCAGGGGCGACAACATGTCGAGCTCTTCCAAAACTCCGCCAGAAAAGCTCCTGTCCGCTCCCCACTCGAGGTCGAAGAGACGGACGATACCTGGTCGACCATACGCCATGCCGGTGTTTGTCCCATTCCATCTTTGGATGCTCCCTGCGTAAGTCGTTTGCTATCATGCCATCATAAAAGTCATACTTCCTCCAACATGATCCTGCCCTTGTAAGCGCCATCTTCAAAAGCCGACATGCTGAACGTGAACGCTTCGGAAATTCGTGCCTCTCAAGCCAGGTAGATGTAGGAAGGCTTTGCCGGGTCAGGCCCCCTCTCCATGTACTCCTTCTCTATCAGCGATTCAATCTTCTTCTTAATCATATTGACATCGGGCTGGAAACGCGACGAGACCTGTGCCAGAGTCTCCGTCATCAGCTGTGCATGCGTCACAGTCTTGCGCGACTTCATGATCCGAACAATCGCAGCGTCGATGACAATCCCGCGCTCCTCTTCTGTCCGCTTCTGAGTCGCACGACGTTCTTCCGAGCTCTCGACCCGGTTAGCCCCGCCTCCCGCGACCACGCTCACTTTGATCTTGAGAAACTGGCTGGTGAAATCTTCATTGAAGTAAAATTTGTCTGATGGCTTGATGTCTTTCGTCATAGGCTCTTTGCGAAGAACCTTCCATTTAGTTACCAACGATAGTGACTGGAGGTTCCGCACGAGCTCAGGCTTGGGAATATTGGTTTCAGCCATGATTTGCTCAAAGGTATAACATTCCCCTGGTGCAAGATCGTTGAAGAGCATGAGAATAATCATTGCATAGGTCGAGACATTGAGTTCGTATCGCCGCGTTTTCCCACCGTTCGTGAATGTAGCTCTCATGTCGGCATCGCCGAGACTGGGCATCCAGGTCAACTTTCTCCCAGTATGCCTATCCAGGTAGAATCTCTCAAATCTCTGCCGCACCTGTTCAACCGGAGCTGGAAACTTGCATTCGGTCTTGGCAGCGTTTTCATCGGGCTTGCTGAGCGTTTCGAAGGGCCAAATAGTCGTGGTCAAGACTCTGCATTCCAGCTCCACACGTTTGGGATCGCGGTCGCCGAGCTTGTCAACGTATTTCTTGTATTTGATGTTGAGATCATCTGACGTCTCCGTATCTCTAATGAGACCTTCCAGCTTCTGGGTGAACTGGTTCCCAATTTTCATCTTCATCTTTGAGAGCATCTCGCGTTCCATTTCTCGACTGACTGATTTCTTCATCAGGAGACGCTTCGCCATGTGCCTCTTATAGTATGTCTCGAACGTGTCCTTGTTTGCAAGGTATTGCAAAAGCAAAATGCCGTCTTCGAGAACTATGTCCACCTCCTTGTCACTCTTGTCCTTTCCACCCCGTTTCAGATACTCATCGAGGAAAAGAGATAGATGTTCTGCGCTTCGGTCGTTGATATTGATGAAATCCTGGAATGAGTTCTGTAGAGCTTTCTCTAGGATTGTATCTTTCTGGAATGCTTCTTTCCAGATTTTGTCAAACTTTGCCTGCAGCATGAGGACCTGATCTACCCACATGATGGCGGCATGGGTCTGTTGATTCAGCACCTTCTCCTGTTGTATGCCTTTGCTGTCAGAACCGGCTTTCTGCGTGGCCTTCGCTGCGGGTGCGGCTTCACCAATGACATTTGCAACCTTGTTGATGTCCGTGCCGAGCTCTATCACTCGCTTCTTGACCACATCCTTCAGCGCAGTCTTCCGCGGGTCCACTCTGCTAACGAGTTCGTACACATTGGCAAGATCTTGAATTTTGTCATTGTCCAGCATGCTCTGCACCCCAGTGCCTTCCATGTTGATGACTTCGCGAATATGAGCAGAAATGAGCTCCGTTTCCACGACAGCTTTGATTTTATGTTCTGTAAGTTGGGAGATGGTCTGCTGGCAACGCTCTTGTTCTTCGGCCAAACGTTTCCTTGCGTGGGTGCAAAACGAACTTGCGTCGGCCTCGACCAACAAAGTTTGGCCTTCGGCCGTATAGAACTCTCGACTCGCTTGCAGGAACAGAGGCTCGAATGACGTGAGGTATAGTTTGCTGGATTCTTCATCCCTGTACGAGTCGTAGACGCCCTCCAACATGTAGCAACAAGCACGAACCAACGGTCGATCAATGATTTCACCTTTGCGTTCAGACTTGATCATATCAAGTAGAACAGTGTTCAATAGACCGAGGACAGTGAGTGGCGGTTCAGTTTCCAAAGTACTCTCTAGAACCCTCATCCGAAACAGCGTCATCGAGGCGGAAAAAATTGGTGGTCTCTTCTTATCTTGGGCATACATGCGGTCCTGTGTCGGTTATAAGCATCGTATCAGCGCATCAGAGAAATATTCGAGACACTTACCATGTACATCAGAACGTCGGTGATCATCCCCATGCAGAGTTGATGGTCGGCAAAGGCATCCTTGAGAGCTCTAATATACCTCTCACCAGCGACTCTGCTCTCTTCCGATATGGCGGCGTGTCTGTCCATGCGATCTGCTAAGAGTGCAGGTGTTACCAGACTGTGTATCTTCGTTCGCACATTGTTCCACAGCCATAACGATATCAACTCCGCAACCCTGTCGTACAGCATATCCTGCTTTTTCTTCAAGACTAGCTTGTATGCATTGCGGAAGAGTTCTTCAAACGAGAGTTTAGAGGCATTTTTGGCAAAAATCTCGTGGAAAGCGGTAGATAAAGTGTTCCATGTTGAGTCGAAGTCGACATCGTCTTTTGCCAGACCCTAACAAGAAGACATATTAGCACGTGACAGGGAAGAAGATAGACTGGCATTGTGCAGGATCGCGACAGTCGATATGCTGCGGGAAATCGAGGCAGGTTGAAGTGATATGTCGTAGGCTCAGGGAACGAACAAAGGCGGTTGCAAACTTCACCGAAACCGCAGTCTGCGAGACAGTCTCAGAGGCAAGGCACGTACTCTTCTCGGGGCTTTGATCTTTGAGCCACCTTTCTTAGCCAACATGATGGGCAGGACACATTGCCTGCACTAAGGCAGCCCTTGAGGTTGCGTTTTTTCCAGAAGGCTGAGCTGATGTTGAGTTGAGGAGCAGGAGCAGGTGGTGGAGAGGGTTTTTGGAGAAGTGAAGTCTCGCGACGGTCAAGGAAGTTGACAGGCTCTGAAGATGACGGTCTAGTCTTGCTCTCAAATACCTTGCCAGGCCGATGCATGGACCAAGAGAATGAGGGGGGGGGAAGGGACCTTTCGCTGGTAATTGTAGTCGCTGTGTTCCTTCAGCCGCCTGGACGCCACTGTGCTGGAGCAAGGCGTTACGAGGTGGCACGCCGCCCTAAAATGGCCGGAGACGGATCGGAAAATCAAAAGACCTTTGGGTGACCTTTTCCCGGAGAAAACCTTCGTCATCGGAGAATTGCCTTCACTACGAGGTACTCAAAAGTGCCATCTTCTTCTCCATTCACATTTCTCAGGTTTGAGGCAGCATGCGATCGATATCTCATGCTGTGCCGAGGGCGGCAGGCAGCCTCTTCGCGTTCCAGTCGATCAGAAATTCCGCGCGGCTTCCATCGCTCGCGTCGAGAAGTCCACTAGCATGGCGACAGTCAACTCCATCTCGTCGCCATTTTTCACCGATCAATCGACACAACTCGTCATTAGCTGTGCCCGGAGCCAAAGAACAGCCGGCCGAAGGGCGAGATGAGCCTTCCTACGAACTGAGCTTTACCTGCAAGCCCTGTCTCTACAGATCCACACATCGCATCACTAAACATGGCTACCACCGCGGAACGGTTCTGGTTACGTGCCCCTCGTGCAAAGGGCGGCACGTTATTGCCGACCACCTCAAAATTTTCTTGGACAAGAGCTCGACACTTGAAGACATATTGAGAAAGAAAGCGGCCGCAGGCGAAGATTTCAGCAAACTGTTGAAGAAAGGGAGATTAGGCATCCGACCGGGTGAACTGGTGGGCAACGAGGGCGAGGAGGATCTTGAGTTTTGGGAGGATGGGACTGAGTCTGTGCACACACCGATCGAGGAAAAGCAGGGGGGCCAACAGGTTTGAGACTGAAATCGACACAAACAGCCACGGAACGCACGTGGATGATCTCTGTGCACCACCATGTCAACAAGTTCACGAAACACGATCAAATTTCCGGTGTCGAGGTTTAGCTGTGATAGCAGCCTTTTACAACTCAGCTCAAGGGTCCGTGGCCTCAACTTCAACTCGTCAGAACATCAGGCTCTCTTGCGTCCAATCCTGTTCTCACCAGAATCGGAGGAGATAGCAATATTCTTATCGAGATCAGGAAACACCGACTGCAGCCAACTCCGCTCTACCGTTCAGCATCCGGCTCACCAAGTATTCAGGCGAGCTTGTCGGCCGAACTCGAACCCTGTCACTCTATTACCATTCGGGATGTGCAAGGGCTATTCCAGCTGGCGTGGCATTGTACTATATATTGAGCAGTTCTTGTTGCATTTGGAGATTTCCCTTCGCCTGGAGGAACCTCGTCATCAGCCAAGACTGTCTCGCGCGAAACCATGTACAACATTTGTTTGGGTATGATAGACGTCTATTCAAAAGTGATAATATCATTGATTTCTGAAGTCCATGTCTCTACCGCTCCAACGATATTTTGTCCCAGCCAACG